AAATCGGAGGGCCTGTTGTCTGGACCTCTGGCAGTCTCTATGGGGGTGCCACAGGGTTCAATTCTCGGGCCAACTCTATTCTCTGTGTATTACAATGATGTCGCTCTTGCTGCTGGTGACTCTCAGATCCACCTCTATGCGGACGACACCATTTTGTATACATCTGGCCCTTCATTGGACACTGTGTTAACAAACCTCCAAACGAGCTTCAACGCCATACACTCCTTCCATAGCCTCCAACTGCTCTTAAACACTAGTAAAACTAAATGCATGCTCTTCAACCGAACGCTGCTTGCACCCACCCACCCGACTAGAATCACTACTCTCGGCGGGTCTGACCTAGAGTATGTGGACAACTACAAATACCTAGGTATCTGGTTAGACTGTAAACTCTCCTTCCAGACTCACATTAAGCATCTCCAATCCAAAGTTAGATCTAGAATCTGCTTCCTATTTCGCAACAAAGCCTCCTTCACTCATGCTGCCAAACATGCCCTCGTAAAACTGACTATCCTACCGATCCTTGAGTTCGGCGATGTAATTTACAAAATAGCCTCCAACACTCTACTCAGCAAATTGGATGTAGTCTATCACAGTGCCATCCGTTTTGTCACCAAAGCCCCATATACTACCCACCATTGTGACCTGTACGCTCTTGTTGGCTGGCCCTCACTACATATTCATCGCCAAACCCACTGGCTCCAGGTCATCTATAAATCACTCCTAGGAAAATCCCAGTCTTATCTTAGCTCACTGGTCACCATAGCAACACCCACCCGTAGTCTGCGCTCCAGCAGGTATATCTCACTGGTCATCCCCAAAGCCAACACCTCCTTTGGCCGCCATTCCTTCCAGTTCTCTGCTGCCAATGACTGGAACGAACTGCAAACATCTCTGAAGCTGGAGACTCTTATCTCCCTCACTAACTTTAGGTGTCAGTTGTCAGAGCAGATTACCGATCACTGCACCTGTACACAGCCCATCTGTAATTAGCCCATCCAACTACCTCATCCCCATATTGTTATTTTTTGCTAATTTGCACCCCAGTATCTCTATTTGCACATCGTCTTTTGCACATCTATCATTCCAGTGTTAATACGAAATTGTAACTATTTTGCACTATGGCCTATGTATTGCCTTACCTCCATAATTTACTACATTCGCATACACTGTATATATATTTTCTGTTGTATTTTTGACTTTATATTTTGTTTACCCCATATGTAACTCTGTGTTGTTGTTGTTGTTTTTATCGCACTGCTTTGCTTTATCTTGGCCAGGTCGCAGTTGTAAATGAGAACTTGTTCTCAACTGGCTTACCTGGTTAAATAAAGGTGAAAATAAAAAACACAGATGGTCTAATTCACTGTACTTCAACCTGGGTAATAATTGGGCAGAGATTAATAAAACGGCATTCAGACAACATTTCTTTAATACAAAGTCAACATATCTACATACACAGTGGTTTTAAACGAATTATTGTTTTAGTTAGAAGTAACAGTTTGAAAGCGATAGCACTTGGCCCTCATACAAAGAAAAACTATTTAGATTGATTTTAGGGTTCTTTATCTTTTTGTTGGCTGTTGTACATATAGGTTCTAATCTTTTGTAGTAATTTTTCTCTTTTGTTAATTTCCCCCCTCTGTGGAATATTCCAGTAGATTTGGCTTCCGTTGTTGTCAAAAGTCTGGTCAAAGAGTAACACATCACACAAACTTCCAAAGACGTCCACGGTCTTGGTTTTTGGCATGGGCCCTTAACCAGTCTTTGAATTCAGTCACAAAAAAAGTCCTCATTTCAAGATTTTGTTCATATGAAACGGTTTGCGATTCCCACTTGAAAAGGAAATGCTGGAAATGAGTCTTTTGTTGTTTCGTCTTCCTTCTTCCTGGTCTTTGCGTCACACGGCTCCTTCTCATTCAGTCCTGATTCATTCTGCATCCCGTAACAAAATATATAAAATAAAATAAAGAATGAACACACTATGGTACTAGGTTCTTATAATGTGAGAGCAGAAAACACCCTCTTACATCATACCATGATTCAGGGTCAGTGGTACTGTAGTACTTTGCTCCTAATGGCTGTGTCATTGCACTATGGCCAGCTGCTAAGTAGCAAAACGATCTCCTGTTTCTCTCTATGACTGCCAATGGACAGTCCACTTCTTGGCTTTTTAGGCTGTTGGGAACTAGCACTTCTTCTTTTTTTTGGGATGGAAGGATAGAGCTTTTTGTTTAGGAAAGGAATAGTCCTTTGGTTGCCATCATGTCCCATCTCTGGAGAAGGAAGCCCTGTTCACTTTGGGGCCAGAGAGCAGGCTCCATTTTGGTTGCAAGAAGCCTGTGCTGAGGCAAAGGTTATGGGTGGGTCCTCACTGACCTGTCTCATAACAGAGTTAGCTGTGGGTGGCTAGCAGGGGATATTGCTAACATGGCAGATATGACAAAGAAAGACGGGACTTAAGAACAGAGAGCAGAGTGGACTACAAATGTTACAAAGGGAGAAAGTACACTTTACACCAGGAAGTTTGCAATGAGCAGAAACCTTCTCTTTGTAGTTCAGTCTTTGATTTGAAGTAAGAGAGCGATGAGGGTCAAATTATACAAATACATATACTCTATATATTTGTTTATTTACAGGTGTTATATTCGAGATCATAGTTGATATCTAACAAAGGGATGATCATGTTGTGTCTGAAAAGAAAGACAAAATAAAGAGGGGGAAAAAATTGACTTTGAGAAAGAGGGAGATGATGGTCTGTACATGGTCAAAAAGTACAGTACCTTCAGCAATTAGTAATAACTTTCCTCTAATTGAAAGCTTTGTAGACTATTTAATCTACTACTTATGAAAATAATAGTCAAACGAATACTTATGACTATTGTTAGCTAATGATAATAGTAATTTCAACAACAATTAAAGACACAGTCACCTTATCGGCACACGTCTACCAAGTGGCAGGAATTAAAAAGGGTTGTAGGAGCGACGCCCGGCCAGACACCTCACCTCATTGTTTCCAGAGAAAAACACAATATTTCCCAAGGTTAAGTTTATGGTTACAAAAAAAAAAAATCCATCATAATTTTACATGAGCAATTCTAAGTTTATGGGTGCTAAAAAATAAAATAAAAATAAGAAACAGAACAAAATACATTTGGATACATCTTTATATTCTGCATTTAAATATATATGTATGTGTGCTTATATACCTACATAGGCACACAAACATGTGTTATACATAACATTTCTATAGTGAAAAAATAGAATGTCTTTTAACGTAATACGAACAAATAAGCATTTATTTTTTTCCTGCTAATTAAAAAAATGCGATACAATATCTCTGTTAAAAAACGAAACTAAAACTACAATAAAAAGTCAGCTATGTAAAGTAAAATAACAACAGTCACCAATAATACAACATTAATGTTTCCATAATGTTACAATAACAGTAAGGCTTTTTGGAAATAAGAAAGACTACAAACAGTTCCATTTCATCACTCTGTTAGTGTACATACCAATCAAAAACACCTTCACAAAATCCATTGTAAAAGCTCCTGGGTATACCAAAGCACAGACCTCTGAGAAAAAAGAAAATGGTGGGCTTTGAGGGCTTGTTTTTATCAGACACGTGTACATAGTGCGTAGAATCGGCCCTGCTATTGTTTAGGTTTCAAGTTTAGTGATGTGAAAGTCATTTGTATCGTGGACATAACTTTCACATCACGACATTCAAATACAACATGGCCACATCTTCCCCAGTAATCCACAGTGGCCCTTGGCCAGTCATCCAAAGTGACCTTTGGCCTATAGCTGGAAGAGAAAAGACAGGAGCTTTTCTCTGGGTTATCAACTCAGTTCCTCACAACTTTGAACCACTGTCCTTCCACTGTTAGTAGAGGACTAGTCTCTCTCTCTGTCAAGCTTGGGACATGAATGTCGAGTGAGACGGTGAGTACAGAGGAGGCTGAGAGGAGTTGATGGGGGAGGGGGGTGAACCAATAACGTGTGGATGCGCTTTCAGTCGCAGCCGACTGAGCGCAAACTGCCACCGCCAGCCCAGACACCTCCATTGTCATCGCATACCAGAGTCACACTTACAGCATACAGGAGAATAAGCAGCAGGTTTGGTATTGAGAGAAACCCCCCCAGAAATACAAGTAAATGATTACAATGGGTTGTTGGTCACTGTACACGTTTGCAGAGAGAGCCCAGTTGCCGCCATTCACCATGTCAAGTTCTCATGTGGTGATTCCACTCGTTCAAAATGTTGGGAACCGCACCAGTAAAAACTAGTCCTGAACAAAGAGTGACAGTAAAAAGTAAAGGAACTTCGTTGTCATTTATCTGGTCTTGCAAGAGCTGTCTTTTACCCAGTTTCCATGGTGACTGAGGCTAAGAGAGCTATATCAGTGGTTACTGTATAAACATGTTGGGGTTTGTCCTCAACAGCACAACAACAACAAAAAACGCACCGCACATTAAGTGCTGGAGAAGCTGAAGCGGTAAGTTGATTGAATTGGTATTTGACGAAATCCACTGCTGGCAGTCACTTTAAGACGCCGTCATCACTTTTCCCCCAGAATATTCTGTACTGCAGAAGCTCCTCTTAGCCCAAAGAGTTGAAGGGATATAGGGGTGCCCTTTGTATGTATGATGGACACGTGTCGAGTTGGGAGTTGAGTTTCAAAGGTTGTAACAGAACTATGGGCAGTAGAAGTTATCTTACTTAGAGAGAAGGATGAGTGTGGTAGGGGGTACCGAATGGGGGTTGACTTCTCTTGCCAGTACCTTACCGTTAACTCAGTGTGTTTGTCTCATCAGAGGTGTCCGACGTTTTGGGGACAATCATCTGTGTACACAGGCAACCACAGTTTTGCCATCAGAAGTGTTTATAAACAACTAGGAACTCTGAACCTCTGCCCTTACATGGTAAAAAAGGCGAACGCTTCCCCCATCTAAGCTACATTCACTCCACCATATTCTCAGTTTTTAGCAATCCCTTTTTTACCTCAGTCAAGTTCGCCTAGTCGTTTTTTCCTTAATTCACTGTTATCTTTGTATTGTTTGTAACGTAGTTCTTTTTTTTTTTATAGATGTCCACGAAATGTTTACAATGTCCACCTCCACATCTGAACACATGAGGTAAGGTTAGCAGTCCGACACTTTGATTATTCCCACCCCACAGCTTGAGCCACCACTTTTGTTTCCTTTCTTCCGAGTGAGGGCGTCAGTTATTTCTGCTGATGGAATCATTTACGGTTTCCTCACCGGCATCAAAGTCCATTGGGTCCAATTGGAATTGCACTCTTGTTGGTGTTAAAAAAATTATAATCTACAATTAGTTTGCTTTTCTGTTGGTTGAATTTAGTTTTCTGGCTGCTGTTATTGTTGTTGTTGTCATTTCTATGGCTCAGGAGACTGTTGAGGGGGACACAGGATTCGGGGACGAGATGGATTTTTACGTTGCATAGTGATCAAAGCTTCCTAGGTACTCCAGACCCGCCTGGTAGCAAAACTGATATTCATCCTGCATAGACAAAAGAAATAACATTAAACATGAAAAACACGTTTTTTTCAGCAGCAAACAGGAGATCATTCACTGTTCAATATAGTACTACAAGCCAAACTTAGCAGCAGCTCTAAGACTTACAGCCAGTACCAACGCCAACACAATGCTGATGCGTATTCTTCGCACTCATGGCTAAACTACATGTTCAACACAAAACCTACAACATCCATGAAGGCCTGTGGGGCCGGAGTGACCTCTCACCTCTGTCTGGACCATGGCCGGCCTCTGTGTCCGCAGCATCTTGACCGTCTGAAAGATGTCTACCACGCCTTCGTAGCGCATCCTCTCCAGCACGATGCTGAGCGTGGTGAAGACACCGGTCCGGCCAACCCCCGCACTGGAAACACACACACACCAGTCTCAGGGGATATGCCGGGATATGTTGGGATATGTTGGGATATGTTGGGATATGTTGGGATATGCAAAAAATACATTTCCAATTCACACATGCATATTACTACACACTTGTTCATGTGTGAAATGTAACAAATATAAGCACCCACGAAATTATTATTATTATAATGATTATTATTATATTTTTTATAACAGTTGAAGTCCAACATTCATGCAAACAGCTCTATCAGGCGTCCATTTGGAAAGATGTCTGAAGTACAGTACCAGTCAAAAGTTTGGACACACCTACTCAGTCAATCCGGAAAATTTCAATAACTTTTAAAGTTTCTTCAAGTGCAGTCGCAAAAACTATCAAGCGCTATGATGAAACTGGCTCTCATGAGGACTGCCACAGGAATGGAAGACCCAGAGTTACCTCTGCTGCAGAGGATAAGTTCATTAGAGTTAACTGCACCTCAGATTGCAGCCCAAGTAACAGACACATCTCAACATCAACTGTTCAGAGGAGACTGCATGAATCAGGCCTTCATGGTCGAATTGCTGTAAAGAAACCACTACTAAAGGACACTAATAAGAAGAAGAGACATTAGACCAGTGGAAATCTGTCCTGTGGTCTGATGAGTCCAAATGTGAGATTTTTGGTTCCAACCGCTGTGTCTTTGTGAGACACAGAGTAGGAGAACGGATGATCTCCGCATGTGTGGTTCCCACCGTGAAGCATGGAGGAGGAGGTGTGATGGTGTGGGGGGTGCTTTGATGGTGACACTGTTGGTGATTTAAGGCACGGCACACTTAAGCAGCATGGCTCCCACAGCATTCTACAGCGATACGTCATGCCATCTAGTATGCGCTTAGTGGGACTATCATTTGTTTTCAACAGGACAATGACCCAACACACCTCCAGGCTGTGTAAGGGCTATTTGACCAAGAAGGAGAGTGATGAAGTGCTGCATCAGATGACCTGGCCTACATAATCACCCAACCTCAACCCAATTGAGATGGTTTAGGATGAGTTTGACCGCAGAGTGAAGGAAAAGCAGCCAACAAGTGCTCAGCATATGTGGGAACTCCTTCAAGACTGTTGGAAAAGCATTACAGGTGAAGCTGGTTGAGAGAATGCCAAGAGTGTGCAAAGCTGTCATCAAGGTAAAGGGTGGCTACTTTAAAGAATCAAAAATTTGTTGAACACTTTTTTGGTTACTACATGATTCCATATGTGTTATTTCATAGTTTTGATGTCTTCACTATTATTCTACAATGTAGAAAATAGTAAAAATAAAGAACAACCCTTGAATGAGTAGGTGTGTCCAAACCTTTGACTGGTAGTGTATATGGGCCGGTTCCCGGGCACAGATGAAGCCTATGTCCTGGACTGAGAAGTATGAATGAATGGAGAATCTCCATTGAACATACTTCTTAGTCTAGGGCTAGACTTATTAATCAATCTGTGTCCGGGAAACCGGCCCTAAGTATGTGTCTGGAGACATCCATTTCTAGTACAAGCTATCATGTGTCCATTCTGTTATTTAAATTTTTATGACAAGGTTGTTATTTATCCTGCCCCTGGATACCAGTCATCATCATCAAGGTTGTTATTTATCCTGCCCCTGGATCCCAGTCATCATCACCAAGGTTGTTATTTATCCTGCCCCTGGATCCCAGTCATCATCATCAAGGTTGTTATTTATCCTGACCCTGGATACCAGCTATCATCATCAAGGTTGTTATTTATCCTGCCCCTGGATACCAGCTATCATCACCAAGGTTGTTATTTATCCTGCCCCTGGATCCCAGCTATCATCACCAAGGTTGTTATTTATCCTGCCCCTGGATACCAGTTATCATCACCAAGGTTGTTATTTATCCTGCCCCTGGATACCAGTTATCATCACCAAGGTTGTTATTTATCCTGCCCCTGGATACCAGCTATCATCATCAAGGTTGTTATTTATCCTGCCCCTGGATACCAGCTATCATCACCAAGGTTGTTATTTATCCTGCCCCTGGATACCAGTTATCATCACCAAGGTTGTTATTTATCCTGCCCCTGGATACCAGTTATCATCATCAAGGTTGTTATTTATCCTGCCCCTGGATACCAGCTATCATCATCAAGGTTGTTATTTATCCTGCCCCTGGATACCAGCTATCATCACCAAGGTTGTTATTTATCCTGCCCCTGGATACCAGCTATCATCATCAAGGTTGTTATTTATCCTGCCCCTGGATACCAGTTATCATCACCAAGGTTGTTATTTATCCTGCCCCTGGATACCAGCTATCATCACCAAGGCTGTTATTTATCCTGCCCCTGGATACCAGCTATCATCATCAAGGTTGTTATTTATCCTGCCCCTGGATACCAGTCATCATGTGCCGTCGCTACACGATGTAACACCTGACTAAGATGATCATGTCAGAGGTAATCTTGATGTGATGCATGTCCACAATTCGCTCTGATGCCCACCCACGCGCTGACACAACACAAAATGAATACACGCGCATGAACGTACAAAATCTCGAACACACGTGAACGCACACACACACACACACACACACACACACACACACACACACACACACACACAAACTCCGCCTCATTAAGTCCCCATTGCAAACCTTTCCCTGCAACAGTCCCCCGAGTCTTAAGTCTGATCCTGAAATACTTGAGGGCTGTCTACATAAGCTGCTTTGGTGTGAAATGACTTCCACTTCACCAATGGAACAATAATTGATCTGACAACAGATGTATTTATTTTTCTCCTACCCACCCCATGACAGTTTCTGACAGAGACGGAAGAGGAGAAGACAGGGGTTGCAAAAGGTGGGAGTGGACTGGAGTTGAAAGGTTACTTTTTCATTTAGCCAAAGATAACTATTGACTACCTGGAAAACTTTTGACAGTAGGTTGGCCAAAATAAAGACCAATGACAAAACCCCAACACTAAAAAAAACACGCCTATGGACTTCTGGAACGAAGGACAAAGAGTTGAGCACCCCTACAGAGTCCTTGCCTCCTCACCTCCTTGTGTCACTGCAAAGTCTGTCCCTCTTCAGTCCCCTCAACAACCCTTCCACCCCACCCCCCTTCTATGCCTCCACCCCTCCAACCCCTCCACACCAGAAAGCTATTCCCTGTGAGCTGGTCACAGCTTGTCACATGGGGTTTTGACTAGATGGGATACAGCTTTTTTCTGAATAAACGTTTTCGTAGCAGGTTAGGAGAACTTACACAGCAGGTTAGGAGAATTAACGTGCAGTAGCAGGTTAGGAGAATTAGGTTAAGGTTAGGAAAAGGGTTAGGGTTAGCTAAAATGCTAAAATGTTCAACTTTTGACACTAATTTGACATAAGCTGTACTCCATCTAGCCATGACCGTCACATGGCTCTTAAACTCCATCAAACCCTTTTAAATAGATAGACTTCCAAATCTGACAGACGTGGAAAGCGGCGCTGAATGAGAGGATTTACACTCCCATTCACAGGAAGTAATCAGCCAATTAATGACAAAAACCATCAGGCTCTATTAGATAAGGAATTGGGGAAGCGGCAGGAGAGAGAGAGAGAGAGAGAGAGAGAGAGAGAGAAAGAAGAGAGAGAGAGAGTTGGACAAAGTGACGAGACTATACAGAGGGATGAGAGATTGAGGAAGAAAGAGGGGGGTGGAAATCAAAGCAAGAGAGAGAAAGAAAGAATGTACCATCTTTTGATATGAGTAGGTGTGATTAGGTGGAAAGAGACAGAAACACACAAAGAGCAGGAAGCTAGAAAGAGAAGGATAATGAGAGGACAATAGAAGAACAAAGGAGGGATAAGATACTACAGACAGACAGACAGACAGACAGATACTCCAGACAGACAAGGACAATAGGAGAACAAAGGAGGGAACCTATTTAGTCCAGACAGACAGACAGATACTCCAGACAGACTGACAGTAGCCGAGCCCAGCTCTCAGTATTGGGCTTCCGGAGCTTTCCAAGAACAGCAATGGAGGGAGGAAGCATCCCTGACTCCTTCCCAATTTCCCAGCATGCATTGTTACAGAAGCGAGACGATTTCCGAGGTGTTCGAGTACTGCAATAACAGTTCCGGTCTTCCTCAAT